CCGCCGCTTGGACACGGGCGAGCAGCGAGATAATCCGATTGCCGATGTTTCGCTGGTATACGGTCCAGGCGCGCGCACACACACACACACACGCACACACACACACACACACATACACACACACACGCGCGCACAAAATACCGCGATACACCTGCAGTCGGTCGTACCCAGAAACCTCGGTCGGGTCGCTGGCGTTAAGAGATCAATGTTTCTCAAACCCTCGCGTGCCGACGAGAGCTTTGTCGTACGTATAGCGCGCAATCGTAAAATCGATAGCACACGCACAGCACATATTTGTTGCTCATTTTTCTCTCCGCGCTGTGCCACACATCGCGATATATATGAAGCGACGTGATGGCGAAACGTAAAACACACCGAGCGGCACCGCGCGCGTGCTGGTTTTGCAAATATAACGCGTTCCATGGGACGTTAGGATCTCCACTTAAGACGTGAAGAATCAATCCTCTTTTTTTTTTTTTAAATGCGTTCGTTAAATAGTGAAATTCGGAGGTATAACCACGGCGTGCGGTTATCTTTCAATTTAATCTCGTTTCTCCAGAAGTCCGGCGTAATAGACATCTGCACGCTCTTCACGGGTTTCGCGCGGCTGCAGACTTTCTCGGTTAAAATCTCGAGTGTGTCGTTGGCGCGAGGCAATATGCGAGCGATGCACCGATCAGATAAACCATATAGCCCGAATCTGTATGTATCTTCGATCGGAGCTGCAGTTATTACGAGGAGTATAGATAAGGGATAATGATACGAGCGCGCTAACATCTGCATTTACATAGTCCCCGCAGTTTAACGTAGTTTCTAGCCTAGTTGCAGGTGCCGTCAAAGGCTGCCTATTACCATCTGCAGTATTCATAGCCAGACCGCGTATAAGCAGACCGCGTTATTACTTCCCTCAAGGAATCGCTACACTATTTTCGACAGAGGTCGAGGAATTAAAACGAAAAGTCAACATACACGATCGGAGATTCGCCACTTCAGATTGTTGCAATTACAGTTACATCGCGATTACATTCGCGTATCTATAATAATTGCGCGGCGTATATATACGCTTTCGCGCTCTGACGCGAAACGCGACTGCTTATATCCGTTTTGTTAAAAGGAGAAGGAAGCTGAGAATGGCAAAAATTCGTGGATAATGAGAGGTAAATTCGAGTTTTTAACTCGGAAACTCGACTTCTCATTCTGGCGCGGAAATAATCGGGGAAAATATAAATCTCGACTTCTTATATACATATATATATATATCACGATCTAATTCTAGAGGAAAATAAAGATGTAGTAGATCTCGCCGAGATTAAAGTTAACCGACTTTACTGAAACCGTTCATAAATCCTAAAAATAGTAACAGGGTCACGTTCGACTTTTATTTTGAGAGATATTTGCACGGCGGGAAAGGAAAGGGATACGGCGGAATGAAAACGTCGATATCACGTCGTCTCACTGCGAGACGGTATCGCGAGACGGATAACATTCTCTCTCTATCGTCACACTCGCGGCGCGGAAGTAAAACATGACGCTAGAGAAAACGATCCGACGAGATCCACGCCGCGAAAAGCTCACCCTTAGCATTTTGCTCTCCCGCTCACGTTTGTGTAGTTGAAGTGCGACGAAAAAAAAAGGAGCGTAACCCCATTTTTCCTGGCACCGAACAGAAATAAACCATTATCGGGGTAACAATAGCCCTCGACACTGAAACAATTGCGGTCAGTAATTGCGGATCTTGCGCGGAAATTTAAGAGTCGAGCGGCGCGCGTTAATGGCCTAAATACCGCAAATAGAGGAGTCCGCGCGGGACGCGCGGCGTTCGCGGCGAGATTAAAGACGAAACGAGAGTTTTCTACCGGTTTCACGACGATTTATACCGCCATTTGCTAAACGACAACCGAGTTGTCGTATCGAAGCGATTCGTATAGTTGCCGTCGTGGGACATGGCAAAGATGAAACGCGGTTTACGTTCAATTTCATTCGGAATGAGTTACTGCAGGCGTACCTGAAGAGGCGGAGAAAGAGCGAGAGACAGATGAAGGAGAGCGAGAGAGAGAGAGAGAGAGAGAGAGCAAAGAAAGCAATACGTGCGACGTATTTTAATGGAGGCTTTAATAATTGCGGCCCACACCCTCGACACGCGGGCATCAGGTGTCCTATTTAAATATTTATAAAGACCTCACCCCCTGCGTATACCGTCTCGAAACCGACGGCACACGAAGCAGCACGCTGCCTTGTCCAGAGGTAAATTTGCCGAGCAGCTACGACGACGACGGGCATCAAGCTTACTTCATGTATTTTTCAGGGAAACGCGTCCACAAAGATTTTCGTTTAACGACTCATTGCGAGCCGTTTCGCGAGCCCTTTCTGTTCAAAACAAATTTTAAGGGAAAACGAAAATTAAATTAATTAGTATTTGATGACAGTGCAAATAATGAATTTCTCCATGTTTTTCCCAAAACCGGTAGCATATTTATACGACAGAATATTGGATGTTGTTTGCCGAAAAGTCGTTTTGCAAACAAGGATGGTGTTTACAGAATTTAGAGGTATAAAAATTTTAGCCTTCGGTAAATATACGGTAAAGCCAGCCGTCTTTACTACTGATTACGCCTCTTTTGAGCAATCTTATAAGACAGGACGGACTCAAGTAGCTTCGCTATCATTCACGGAGGTGTAACACCGCCGTTTCTGTCTCTCCTAATAGGTCTTCCCTAACTATCGTGCGTTAAGCGGCATTCAGGACTTGCTTCGTTGCAATCATTAGTCCTCTATTCAGCGCGACCAGAGCTAGAAATGCACGGCGTTATGGTAAGGATATAACGCTTATTCTCTATATTATCCTACCCAGTTTCTGCCAGTCTGGATCGTGACTGGGAATATCCAAGTCGGAAGGAGCGAAAACTTTCCGAAGAACGCGAAGAAGAAGAATGTTATCGTTTATCGTGTGTGGAACAGCCGTGCTCCTCTCGAGTGTGAATAAAGCATATCTCTTGACACTGACGTTCGAGGAACATTAGTATTAAAAAGGGATGTAAATTTTCACACACGATGTAAAACAAATCTGACGTTATTCTTCTAATTAATGTACGAAAGCTCGAGATGATGAATAACTTCAAGAAATGAGATTTTTTTTAAAACAAAAAAAATCTATTTTCTAAATAATATGCATCGATTTTTTTTTTTTAAAGTACGCACGTCGTCAGAAATGTCTAGCCATCTGAACTTGTAGGGATACCTGTTCATATATATTGTATATATTCAAAATATATGTATGTATATATGTGCCCCTGCAAATTCAGATGGCTAGGCATTTCTGACGCGGCGTGTGTGCAAAAAGAAATATTGCGTTTGCATTTCTCTTTACTTTCATAAATGATCTTTTGTTGTTTTCTTAAATTGCATCCGCTGCACTTGACAATGTCGACCAG